CAAGGATTTTAACAAACTTTGTTCCAGATTCTGTTCTGAAAAAGTAGTTATTTGTCTCGCCATTGTCCTTACCAGGCTGGTTCCTGAATGGCAGGGGTCCGTTTCCTGAATGGCAGGGGTCCGTTTCCTGAATGGATGGATTTGTGGAGCAGACAGAATCTGAAGCTTTTGTCCATGGCAACCAATCAGCTTTTATGTTTCATTTTTACAGCTGAACAACCTGAAGAGAGAAGCCGATTGGTTGCAATGGGTAACTGCTCCAGATTCCGTCTTTTTAAAGTTTTAATACATTCCCCTCATTGGATTTTTGTTCCTGGTGCACTTATTAATTTTATAAAAAAGATTTCAGTATTTACATTTGAAGGGTGCTACATGCGCACAGTACCCGGATTCATATTCTACCACGGCCCCCTCACTGAACAGACCTGAGCGGGCCTACGTGGCAATAGCTTATATGTACAAATTCCCCGATTCCACATCTGCTGATGGAAAAACAGGAATGGAGTCCTTCTGATGTGTAATGTATTTATGTAAACATACATCAGCTCTCAGGCCCCTGTGGCCTCCTCAGAACATGACATGGCTCCCCAGGACTGGCCTGCAGATGTGTTCTGGGTGGGGTCCGGCCCTAATCCTCCACTTTGCTATTCATTTCTCAGCCTAAGCAAACATCTGGCTTTCATCGAAGAAATTGAATAAGTTTGGCCGGGAACGCGAAGTAACAGAACTCCGGGGAAGAAATGTGAAAAAGATAATGGGACATTAGTTATCAGAAAAGGACATAGAGCAGTCATCAGCAGTAACCCATCGCAACCAGGCAAAAACAGGCCATAGAGCAGTTATCAGCAGTAACCCATAGCAACCAGGCAAAAACAGGCCATAGAGCAGTTATCAGCATTAACACTCAGCTTGTTGTAGTGTAGTCAATATAAAGCCCAACTCCGGGCTATTTTATTTTAGAAAAGTCTCCGGGAGGTTAAAAAAAAATGCAGTTGAAGCTGCAATACTCATTGCTCTTTTCTTCCTCCGGCTCTGTGCTGCAGTAATAAAAATATTATTATTATTATTATTATTATTAATCCTAACCTGAGCTCCTCTGAACCTAGAGTACGAAGGGAAGCTCTTTCCATGCTGCCCAATCAGTTTAACATAAGCAAAGGGGCGGGATGCAGTAACATCTTTGATGCTATATATTATTATTATTATACAGGATTTATATTGCGCCAACAGTTTGCGCAGCGCTTTACAATATAGGGAAGACATTACAATCGCATTACAAATCAAGACAAGATGGTAAGGAGGGCCCTGCCCGTGAGGGCCTACAATCTAAAAGATATATAGCTATATGCCTAGATTTGGTAAATTACATTTATGGATATGTGGCCATGTAGATGACATAAGCACAAGAACCCCGCCCCTTTGTTTTCATGCAACAGCAGTGTGGGAAATGCCCAGCCCGCAACTGATTGGTTGGAACTGCCTATGGCACTTCCTTGTTCAGAAGCGCTCAGGGTTCAGTCCAAATATGGGCGCTTCCCTAGTTATAATGTTCTCTCTGCAGATTAGGTTATAAAGAAGTGGGGGAGATGTTGTCAAGTTCTTAAACAGTTCCTAGGTTGACAACAATGCTCCTCCACAGATACATTACGGTGAGTGTTACCTCGAGACAGGAAGTAGGTTCCTGGCAGGATCACCTGGTTAAAACAAAGGAAAAATGGCAGAGAAAAGAAGACTAAGGCAGCCACCACATCGAAGTACTGATGAGCTGCAATATGTTACATCATTGTTTGTTAGGTTTAGGTATACTTTGTTTTAGCAGGAGCTCCTGTGGTTTCTGATCTGATGGATTAATGTTCCTCCTTTCTCTCGTTGTACAGTGATAGGACGGCACGGTACTATTACTATTGGCACCTGCGGAAACAAACCCTGCTCTCCCAGAGCACAGTACGGGAAGAGGCCTACTTCCTGCTGGCCTCCTACGCCCTTCAGGCCGACCTGGGCAACTTCAAGAAGAACAAACACCATGGAAAATACTTTGACCCAGAAGCCTACTTTCCTTCTTGGGTAAGATGGAGCTTCCATCGTGTTTTCCTCGGCGCTGTTGGTATTTAAAAATCTATGCAACAACCTCTTATGTCAGAATAGACTAAGGATTACAAAACACGTTGGCTTAACCCATTCATGACCAGCGGCCATTGTAGCCCAGACCAAATTTAGCACCCCCACTATGCAGATATTACCTTCTAAAAGTAACCATGACATCATTGCTGTGCTGTACATAGCCTGAGCAGAGCTGTGGGAGGGGCCCAGCAGGAGAGAGCAGCAGTTAGCAGTCTTTATTACAGTAGGGGGCGGAGACCAGACCAGTCACCCTGCACAAGGAGAGAAAGCAGCAGTGACCGGTCTTTATTACAGGAGGGGGCGGAGACAACACCAGCCACCTGCACAAAGAGAGAGAGAGAAGCAGTGACTGGTCTTTATTACAGGAGGGGGCGGAGACAAGACCAGTCACCCTGCACAAGGAGAGAACAGCAGTGACCGGTCTTTATTACAGGAGGGGGCAAAGACAAGACCAGTCACCCTGCACAAGGAGAGAACAGCAGGGACCGGTCTTTATTACAGGAGGGGGCAAAGACAAGACCAGTCACCCTGCACAAGGAGAGAACAGCAGGGACCGGTCTTTATTACAGGAGGGGGTGGAGACAACACCAGCCACCCTGCACAAGGAGAGAGAGCAGCAGTGAGCGGTCTTTATTACAGGAAGCTCCAAGTTTCACAATAGGAGTTCAGCTTGAAACCCTTTCTAACACTGTATCTCTTTATCTGTGCACAGTGGGTATAGAAAGAGAGAGAGGCCGAAGGTAAGCCTGTTCTGGTGACAACACTCTCTCCCCTTACTCTGGAGAGATCTTTCCTTACTTCCTGCTCTGTCTCTGGAACAGGAAGTGAAGGAAAAGCTCCCTTATATCTTATTTTGTACAAAACTAAAAAAAAGTTATTGACTTCAATTTTCTGGTTTACCAAAGTGGTGTTCCCCTTTTAAAGCCTGCATGTAAATGTTATTGTGTCGCTGCCCCATCTCAACCCTCGCGGGTGATAAATGGTGCGAATCCCGCTGGGGGTCAGACAGCCGTGACACAGCGCAGTAAATAAGCACTTGGACAAGATGACAAATTATAATGATGCTGGAGAGCGGCGCATCTGTAAATTCATTATTACAAATGGAAAATTGATGGAGATGCTGATTGCTCTGGTCTCCGCCGGGACGGGAAGCAGGCCGGCATTAATCCAGCTTTATTCGAAGTTTCTGGCTTAATACGATGACACAGTCTAAGAAATGCAGTACATACGAAGCCATTAACTCCACAAAGCTTCATCTTCTTCACTGCGGGGAGCCAAGGGTTAATCTGCAGATGACGCAACGAAATTGGCTTTATAATGTGCAAAATCATTTACTCTGCCAGTAAAGAGTACCTGTCATTAGGGCTGTATGTATGTAGGGCTGCCCTGGGCGAATGTGTTTGGTGGCACCCTTTTGCTTCGCTCTCTCCTTTTGTCTCCAGTTGGGCTACGGAAATTCAATGCTGTTGCATTCAGCTTTATACAGTATGGAGACAAAACAATTGGTATGTGCCCCAAACAAGAGCCAATAGAGGGGGAACTGGCTTACTTGAGCTGTAGAGAGTCTCGATACACACCTATAAACTGATATATACTTCTAGTGTGTACAGTTCACCAGTCCAGATTCAACAGAGAAGTAGGAGAAGGCTTATCTAAGCAGCAGAGGACATTGTTGTCTGTACTCGACAGTCGGCATTGGCTTATAGGCAGGGGCGTCACTAGGCTTGGTGTCACCCGGTGTGCACATCATTACGTATACACGTAATGTCCTTGCGCGTAATGACGTCACATACACTTCCATGCCAGCGGCCATCTTGGTGATGGACGCCGGCAAAAAGAGGAGGGGGCATTCATCCGTCGGGATAAGGTACGATGCAGGGTCCCCTCCTCTCTCATGCAGCTGTCAGGCTCCCGACCCATGACCAAGTGCCTGATTTTTTTAGAGGGGGTGCACCCAAAATGACTGTCAGTCACCCCCTCTGATGGTGTGACCCCCCCCCCCCCTTGTGACACCACTGCTTAAAGGCTCAGTCCACTCAAAAGTTAAATTACCCAAAACAGTGTTGCTGACAGATTCTTCTGTCGTCTTAGAAGCTGCAGCAAGTCAGATGGAGCCTGCCTCATTTCCTGGCTGGAGGGCGTCCCGCATTATTTAGCTTATTCCTCCCCAGCCTGACTGTCCCTGGCCCCGCCCCTTTTATATACTGGATTTAAGCATCACATGTGGGCGTTACCTGGGGCCGTCTGCATTCAAATGTAGTCTGCTTAGGAACACCCACTTCCATGCTGACATCACCCATCAAGATGGTTTGATATTTGCATAACTCCTCCCTAGATCCAGCCCACTGCCTGTATTAGGGCTGAGGGCTATCAAGAGTAGTACTGAGACACGGAGATACCTGCCAGAGCACTTCAGCTTTGATTTTTTTTTTTTGGTGCAGCTGTATCCTTCGCTGACACTACTTTGCTCATTGTGTTTGCTTCCACAGATCATTAAGAAGCGAGGAAAAGATTATATCCTCAAGCACATTCCTAATATTCACCGCGACCAATTTGCACTGACGGTGTCGGAAGCACAACTTATGTATATTAAGGAAGCAGCGAGACTCGACGACCTCTGCGTCCATTACTACAGGTTATACAAGGTGAGGCAGCAGGAGGAAGATGAGAAGAGGGATCTGCAAGCCTCAGATCTCTAACAGGCAGTCTGTGATAAACCACCATTAATGTATATGGAACCCCAACCACTAAGCTCTCTGATAAGCTTTAATATATTAAAGGAGAACTATGAGGCGAGTGCTTTTCACTCACCTCATAGTTCTAGCCGACCTGTGCACATGAGACTGTCACAGGTCGGCTCAGTAGATCGGGAGGTGAGCGAACACATACCGGCGTTCGCTCACCTCTCGATCCTGTCACGGCTCTCTGCCGTGACAGGGGAGGGGCTGGATTCCCCCCTCCCCGCTCCGATCTGCCAGCGCTGACTGGCGGAACGGGAGGGGGCGGGTACAGCTGGCTCTGCCTCTAGATAGGCAGAGCCAGCTGTCAGTCACGCAGCTGGGCGGATCCCGGCACAATTGTCGGGATTCGCTTCAGCTGCGGCGTCTCAGTATACCGTGAGCTACAGCTCGCGGTATACTGAGCCTAGGGTGATGGGAGGACGCTAGTTTGTGTCCTCCCGTTACCCTAAGGAGAACTATGGGGAAAAGCCTTAACACCATAGTTCTCCTTTTAATTTCACTTCTAAAGAAGATATTTTTAGATCTGCAGCTTTCATTAAAATAGTCCCATAAGGGTCCTTGCTCAGGCGCTTCCTGTTATAGGGTGACAATGCTCTGTCCCTGTCTTCCAGTTGTGTGTAGGAAGTCCCCTCTACATGTGCTCCTGCGATGTCACCTTGTTACATGGGTGGGCATTACAACACACATTGCGCACATATCCAGGTTTAAAATCCATTAAAAACAGGACTGTAGCTACAATGGGACGAGTGAGGCACTCGCCTCAGGTGCAGCTGAGAGGGGACACAGCCAGGGACGGCCTGGCTGCGCCCACTCACCCTTGTTGCCATGGTGAGCACAGGGCACCATGTCAACAGGGGTGCCAGGCGGCCAACACAGCCGTGGCTTGGCAGGGAGAATAGGAGCGGCACAGGGCACATGATGTCACATACCGCACACGTCTGTTGGGGGGGCACAATTTTCTGTTGCTTCTGAACTTGCCAGTTGTCTAGCTGTTATAATGGCCCTCTATCTGTGTACCTGTTGAGGGCTGGCGACACCAAGCACAATTTTCTGTTCTTGCCTCGGGCGCAAAAAGAGCTAGCTACGGCTCTGCTTAAAACTAATCATTTTATATTTGGTTTCTTTTTATTTTCAGGATAAAAGGGAGATAGAAGCCTCATTGCTCCTTGGAATCACCTTACGAGGAATCCAGATCTTCCAGGTCAGTCTTTTATTAATGTATATGTAAAACTGCATTCAAGAAGAACCATTATTTAATTGCTATCTTTCGCTACTAGGCACTGTTTCTATTTCAGGACCAATCATGGGGCTGCCCAGTCCCTGCTTTTTCACTTTCTGTAGCAGGGTGACAACACTGCCTTCCTATGGTGTGCATGCAGGGGTAGCATGCTCTTGCAATGTGCTACATGCCTCGTCATGTCCAATCTCTGACAAATTCACTCAGTACTGCTTATCACTCTAGGTCAGGGGTGGGCAACTCCGACCCTCCAGCTGTGCCTTAACTACAAATACCATCATGCCTCTGGGAGTCATGCCTGTGGCTATCAGAGTGTTGGAATGCCTTATGGGACTTGTAGCTTCACAACAGCTTGAGGGCTGGAGTTGTTCACCCCTGCTATATTGAATTGCTTTTTTAATCTGCAGCACCCTGCAAATTCTGCATGTAGAGTATCTCAATATTCTGTATGCAGGTCTGTGCATTGGAGCCGCTGCCAACCTATAGCAGGGGTGAACAGGGGAGGGGCTGTTCACTGTTCATATATATATATATATATA